GGGCTGTAGCTGCCCTGGTTCTCATTTCATCCTGGCCCCTCCGTGACCTCCGAAGGGCTCAGAGCAAGCGTGTGTTGATGAGGGGGGCTGGTGCACTCGCACAAGGATCGGCTCGCTGATGGAGCTCCAAAGACGGCCTGTCAGCTCCCTCAGCCACACGGCTCGCACATGAGCCGGCATCCTCCTGAGTCAGAATTGGGGGTCCCTTCCTGGGGAGCGGCAGTGTCCCATGGTTAGCAGGACTGCAGACTCCAGGCTTGGCAACCAGACCCAGCCACCCCTGCCTCCTCCTGGCTTCACGACCAAGTGCGTTCACCATGCTCTGTCCTCCAGCTGGGAAACACGTCCGCCTTGCAGGGTCACTGAGGGGTGACAGGGACAGAATGTGACAGAGACCAACTCCTAAACAGATCGCTGCAATGGCTGATGAGTGCAATGATTAAGATATGCCCAGGGCCCTTCAGGATACCTGACGCTGTCTGTGAAGGTCGGAGCATGCAGGGAAGGCTTCCTGGAGGAAGTGAGGCTGGAGCTGTGTCTTGAAGGTTGACTAGGAGCCAACCAGCAGGGCAGGATGGGGAAGAGCATTCCAGAAAGAGACGGCCACGTGAGCAAACTGTTGCCAAGCAGCCTCTGTCTGAACCCTTCTGGTGACTCGCTGCCAAAAAGCCCTGTCCAGCTAGGACAGCTTGGGCTATCAGGACATCCTTTCTTCAGAGAGGCTCTCTGTGGCCTCCAGCCGTTGGCCCGTTTCTCCTACAAGGACTAAGCCGAAGGCAGCGTGTCTTCCCTTCTCCAGCTAATCGGCTCCAGCCCCACCAGGCACCGCAGGTGCACCGGGGGTGGGGCGTGCGCCAGGCTGGCTCCATTCTTGGCCTGCAGCGCGGCCCAGCATCCCAGGAGAACAGGGCTCAGAGCCCTGAAGATGCCCAAAGAACCCATCTGAAATATAAGCGCCCTTGGGGTTGGGGCCGAACTTTAGAGCAGAGGGCCCAGCTCAGGGCAGAGGGTCTGTCTCAGCTCTGCCTCCAGGGGCCTGACAGCTGCAGCCTGAAGCCCTGACCGGCGAACAGTCTGTGGCCTCTTTGAGTCAACAGCCTAGAGGAAGAGAGGCAGTGAGGGAGGGGGCTCACCCTGACCTTGAGGGTCCGGCTCCCAGCTCAGCCGGGGGTAGCCCCGGGCGGCCTGCCTCGGTGAGCACCGGGTGTGGAGTCAACATGGGGCAAGCACTTCGAGGCGGCCCCGGCCCACGGGAAGACCTTCCAGGGCTGGACGAGGCAAACTCGTGACTTCAAGGGCCCCCGGGACGACCTCTGCCACCAAGAGCTGTCCCCTCCCACAGCACAAATAGCCAGCGTCCCCTGCAGAGCCGCTCTTGCCTGAGAGCCCCCCTGCGAACACTGGGGCCGGCGGTGCCCGGTGAGCGCTTGGCCCCTGTGCCCGGTGACTTGGCGTAAAGGCCCCGAGAAGGGCGCCTCACAGGGCACTGTCTGTGTGTTTGTTAACTGTTACTCCAGAGAGTTTCCAGGAGTGGAGGAAAAGACTGCAGGGTGTGATAGCGCAGAGGGACCATGATTTGCCTGCTCCTCGTACAGAAAAGAAAAAAACCACAGTGAACTGTAGCTGCAGGAGAAACCACGCTTGTCCTCCCTTGAGTGATTCACGCCTTTAACTGATAGAATCAGCTGCCTCTTTGCTTCCCCTGAGAGTCACCTGTTGTCCCGGAAAGCATGAAATGAAAGAGCACTGCTTGGTGCCAGGCGACGTCCGTTCCAATCCCGCACAGGGCCCTCTGGCTCTGCCCCTTCTGGGCCACGTCCCCCGCCGTGTGAAGGGACGGCTGGTGGGCGCGATCTCAGTGCTGTTAAACACGTACTGCCACCCACCCCCCGAATCCCTCAGTAACGCTTCCTAATTAATCACCCTGTGTACTGCATTTTAAATTAATTAAATTAAAAGTAATTAAATCCAGGAAATTGAAATTAGTCTAATTAGATTAGAGGCACACCCAGCGACTGTGGCGAGGGGCGCCATGTAAGTCGGTCAGTTTCAGTGCAGAAACGAGAAACTCGGATCACAGGCAGGTGGTTAAGAGGGAGAGGCAAGTCCTACACGGACGGGTGGAGGCCGATGTGCTCACGGTACCAGCAGCCGGTGCCGCCTTCATGAGGGCTTCCCTGGCCTGAGCCTGCCCAGTCGGACCCCAGAGACCCCCTGAGGTAGGGCTGCGGCTCTGCCTGCCTGGTGGGGGGAGGCATGCTGTGCTGTGCGGCAGATCGCGGTGGAAACCCACGTGGTCATCCCGCCTGCCTCCAGACCACCCCCCAGACGCCCAGCAGAGTGCAGACGCGCCGGTGGCCAGGGCCTCGGCTGGTCACGGGAGCCCACGTGGGTGCCCGTCTTTGAAGATGCCAATGAGACCGTCTCGGGAGCAGGAGACGTGTGCCTCGTCCCTTTCAGCTTCTCACCGACAATTAGCCTGACCTTCTCGTCCGAAATTATGCCAGCAGCAACTTCTACTGCTGCTTTGCTGAGCTGGCTCCACTGCTGGGGGGGAGCAAGTCCTCAAGACGAGTAAAGGCAGTTGTTTCCTTGCCACCATCAAAGGCAGGACTGGCTGCTGCGTGGTGATTTTCAAGGCAATTCAAAATTAACTTCAAATTACCACGAGCTGACTCCCTCCCCACCTTGCTCTCAAGCCCTCTCTCGTGGCTCTGCCTGTAGCCCGACTTTGTTCACAGAGCAGAACTGCTCCCAGCCTCCCTGCGCTCCGCTTTGAAGCCAGCCCATGTTTTCCCACTTCACCCCTCCATCCCTCTGGGCGGTGGTCCCCCCTCCCCCAAACGAGTCCGGGAGGCTCAAACAGCAAGCGTTTGCTTTTTCTAAGAAGAGGCTCCAAGGTGCCATGTGCTTCCAGCCAGAAAAGCGCCTCTGGGGCGTGCTTGCTAGAGGCGGCATACACCAGCCAGGCGGGGTGGCCTCTGGGGTGCAGCACGCCGTCCCCGAGGGCTCCCCAGGCAGGGAACGAAGTGACGGGGAGAGGAGACAGAGCAGCAGGACGGTGCTGGGGAGACAGGTTCCACGGCCCGTTATTTCAGCCATGCGTGCACGCGAGGAGCCCACGGTTCTTTTGGAATAGGTTCCAAGGCCACTTCCTATGGGAAGTCTCCTCGCACGGCCTCTGCCCACAGCGCACACTCACTCCCCTTCCTGGGAGTTTAGCCTCCCTGCCTGCCCAGCCCCGCATTTCCAGGTGCCCAGCCTGCTGCCCATTTGACAGGCGCCCTGTGTCTGGGAACCCAGCATAGCCTGAAGCAGCGTGAGGTCCCCCTTGTCCCCTGCCCTGCCCACCTCCTAGGAGTACGGCCAGAGGGACTGTGTCACTCTCCAGGGGCCCCGGAGCCTGGCCCAAGCCCTTGGATGTCTCAGTCCCAGTCAGAACCCAGCAACTGCTTATAACTGGGTGATGGTTTCCTTCAAAGGCTGCCAGAGCCTGCTTCCTTCCCTTTAATGACTGAAGGGAACACGCGTGGTAAGCATGTTTCCAACCCCATCTCTGTTGCTGCCTGCCCTCCGCCTGTAGACCGAGTAACCAAGGTTCCATCCAGCGCGGCCCCGAAGGGCTGGGCGGCTTCCGGGGCGACTGGAAGTCCAGTGATGAAGGGGCTGCTCGCTCCCACTTGCTGGCTGGCTCCCTTGGAGGAGCCGGGTACGTCCCGCCCTCCTGAGCTCCTCCTACTCGGGGCTCAGGTCCTCTGGGCTGTGGCCGGGCCCTGGGACCCTGAAGACAGGCCACGTGAGAGCTCCCTTCAGAGGAGACGCCCACCCCCTAGCGGGTGAAAGCGGGGCGTCTCCTTGTGCTGCGCGCAGGGAGCCTTGGTCGGTGCGAGCAGCCCCCAGCCTGCAAGAGGCGGGCCTGGCCCTTCCCACCAGGCTGGGCCGAGGTTGCCAGTGAGAATTCCGCTAGGGCGGCCAGGGGAGGCCTCGCTGCGGAGGGGGCATCTGGGCTGAGGCTTGAATGATAAGACCACGCCCTGGCAGCTTCCAGGACGGTGGTTCCAGGCAACGGGAGCAGCTAGTGCAAAGGCCCCGGGGCAGGAGCCAGCGGCCGGGTTCAAGGAGCCAAGGGAAGGCCCTGCAGCCAGAATACGGAGGCCCCAGAGCATCAGAGGGAAGAACGGGACGGGGAGGGGAGCCAGGCCAGCCCTGTGGGCCCCTGCATCCAGGGATGAAGAGTCTAGACTTCAAGTTCAACAACAGGCGGTTGAAGAGCTTGAGGGGGAGGGACGCTCTGAGGTCATTCTGGCTGCGTTTGACCTGGGAAGACCTGACGGCTTGGGCCAGAGGGCTGGGAAAGGAGGGGAGCCAATGGATTCCGGAGGCGCGTCAGAAGTGCCGCCGATGAGCCCCCGGGTGATGGGGGGGCCGTGCGGAGGGGCCGAAGGCGGGGACCAAGGACGGTTTTGTCTTGAGCAGTAGGGTTGCGTTTGCTGGGGTGCGGAAGGCCCGGGGGGCTTACAGGCAAGGCTCCTCGCTTGGCGGAGGCGCACAGCGGGCCGGCTGCCGCCCCCCGTCACTGCCGTGGCGGTGCCGGCTGCTCTGCCCAGGTCCCCTCCTCAGAGCCGACGTGCTGGTCCTCCAGCCGACCCGAGGCTCATGCCGTCCCTCCTCCAAACCTGCCTCGGACCACGGCAAGCTGCCCGCCCACCACAGCCACGGCCGACAGCTGGCTGCCGTGCGGATACACCCCAGCCCTGCCACCTCAAGCCAAGGCCACTCCGAGCGGCCGCCTCGGCCCAGAGCCTCCGTGGGCCGGGCGGGGGCCCCGGCGCGGACGCACCGCCGGCCAGCCTCTCCCTGCCCGTCGGCCGCCTCGCGCGTGTGCCTCCTGTGAGCT